TTTTATACACAGCTATTAGTAAGGCGATGGGTGAAAAACAACACTGCTCTGGTGTGACTGGGCTCAAACAGATCTTTTTTTTCCACTCTATGAAAATATATATAAAAATATATATATATATATATATATATACTGTATAATATACCTAGAAGCACTAATGAAGTTTGATTGTTAGTTGTGCACTCACAGCATGAGTTATTAACCCAGAAACGCTTATCAGACGAAACGCATTAGCGTCGGCCGACGCTCGGACCCCGCCGTGATCCCCGTAACGTCAGTGTTTATTCTGTGTTCCAAGTGCCAATAACTTTGTGAATTCCTAACTGTGACCCAATAATTACGATAATTGCACATTAACTACTGTAAAAAAAATGAAAAAGGAAAAATGAGTATCTTAATAAAAAGGTTTGTAACAAACACTCTGCCTGAAATGTAATCGCGATTGTACACTTGACTGGGGGTAGAATGGGTTGTATTAAGCTTCACAAAATATAGTTTGAGTAACACTCATTGGTTCTCTTTTGTTAAAAGCAACACTAATCGGTTCACAGCGTAGAGGACTGTGTGCGTTGTGATTGGCTTCCACCACTGGCCACGAGCATCAGTCTTCTGTAACTATGGCTGCTGAAAAGGAGAGCCGACAATTCACTAAAACCAACACAGGCAGATCCCATCCTATCAACCCCCCACCCGTGAGAGGATTGTCCTTAGTGTAACGGCTGATAAGACCAGTTTCAAACTCCTACCCTGAATGTTCCAAAACATTGCTGGTAAATTGAAGGTTGGACCATTCTCCATTTGGCTAATGTGCTACGTCGATGTGCAGGGAATAGCAGAGTTTAAAGATCGTGACGCGAAAATCACGGTCTGCCGGCAGCTTTGCCGCCCGTCCCAAAGAGCGGAGTCCGGGATACAGACCTCAGGATGCACAGAGGATTATACTGCTGCTTTAGACGCATAATCGATCAATAACAGGGAAAGCCTGGGAAACTCCACACACAAGTCACTCCACAAGAAACAGAGCAAATGTATATGGTTTATTAAGAACATGGGAAAATTTACAGAGGAGAAGGCAATCACTCCACAGCTTACAGTCTTTCAGGTATGCCTCTATATTTACAGAAAACCAGGGACAAGTTACTCATTCTGTCTGAAACCAGATTATCAGAAGTGCAGCAGAAGCCGGTCCCTGAGGGCACTGTGAGGCGAAATCTAATGCAATAACACAGTTTTCCTATGAATCTAATCCGTGTGATTCAGACCTGCTTGGTTGGGTCCTGGTTGACCGATGGCAGGTGTAACGTGCCCCTCCGTGGGGTGGGGGAGGATGCAGCTGTGGGCACATGGCAAATTATCAAGGGCGCAACTCAAAATGCTGGGAGCCCCTTGAATCCAGAGAGTTTGGGTTCATTTTGTCCCCCCGCTAATTATCTTCCTGGTTTTGCAAATCGGCAGGCTGATGTCGTGGGACAGTCCCCTTCCCCGGTGGCCGATGGAGCACAAACTGGAATGTGACAATGCCACCTGTCCCACTGGTAATACTGGGAAACACACGTGCACACGGTCAGAGGAAACGGCTGAGAAATGAACCGTGACAGCAGGACAGGGAGCGAACAGCTCAGACGGCCAATCAGTCAATCGCTCGATCGATCACAACCAATCACATTCCACGGAGTGTCACAGCAGCCCCACCCACCACAGACAGGCCCCATCCATCATGCGAATGCAGCACATACTGTACATCTGATGCTGCCTGTGCTTAGGAGGGCGTTACGTCCAGAAGCCGAGAGCTACCATCAACCCCAACTCCCCAAGGGAGTGAAGTACCACCTGATACCTTCGGGGAAGTTCAGAAGGGGCCAGAAATCCGACACTCCCTCTCGTCATCGGCACAAACGGTAAATGCGTGGATACATGGATTAAAACTGACAACAAAAAAAAATAATACTGTAACGGTTTCAAACACTAACAGAGAGGAAAAACCACAACGATAAGAGCCGCAAGAAAGGGTGGACATAATTCGGATTTCAGAAAGTCACCATTTATCTTTAAGCTGTAAACTGACATGGAGGCAAGTCAGGAAAAAAAAAGAATATTAAAATGTATAATAAAATTTACAAATATAAAGCAATGTGGTCCTCTGTTTTTTTTTTTCCCCTCCAAGCCAGATGAGAACAGGGATCGTGTCATTAAGGCATCGCACTGCAAGAAGTAATTTTTCTCTGGTCATCACTCCCTGACACAGCAGGAACGAAAGTGCAGAAAGAGGCGGTCTGGCATTCAGCGCGTCTGCAGACAGGCAACGGGACACCGGCAGCGGGAGCGACCAGCACACACCTGGAGCAAGCGAATGGGGATAATCGGCCTGTCACTGTAATATATTTTTGGTGAAATAAAATCGTATCAGTTATAAACAGATGTAAAAAATTTGCTTGACGACAGCCAGGGAATGGGGGGGAAAAAAACAGTACAGAACAGTGAACAGAACAGCACAGAAAATTCACAAGAAGTCACAATGTCCACCAGGGGGCGAGACTGATGAAAGACATTTATACTTGTCTGTCTTGCCCAGCAACTACCAGCTTCGTCAGTGAAGTGGCCATTGTGATTGGCTAGCTGGCCTCAAACAAGCACCCTTTATAATCTGTGCAGGCCCATCAATATAAAGTTTTTTTTTTCCTAAAAAAAAAAAAAATGAAGGCAGCTATGACCACTATATTGTGAACATCAAGCTGTCTTTCAGTACCATTTCTCTGGTTCAGGAAACTGCGCTTAAAAATAATTTTTACGTGCCACAAAAGGCACCTGGTGCAGGTCCCGCCTAATTTAAAGCGGACGCTGGGCTATAACGCAGCGGGCAGCCGTATCCAAAAGCGGGAGGAGACGGATTTACCCCCCAGTCCTCTATCCATCCATCCATAGCATCCGTCCAGAAGGAGGGGAAAGAACATTGCAGATCCATGGTCAAAGTGTGAAGAAGAGGATGAGGATGATGATCATTACGACCGCCAGGACTCCGATCGCACACCACTGCCTCCGACCTGAGGACCAGATAAAAAAAAATAGCGGCTGACGGCAGATGTAAACGCAAGAAGAGCTAAGAATGTAAATGCAGGCAGGTGTGATCCAGCCTCCATGAAGACTACAGGACAAAGTCATGCCACCCATAGCAATAATGTTAATCAATCCATCCATCCATCTCCAGTCCACCTCTCCTGCAAAGGGTCGTAGCAAAATACTTATTTTCTTGATTTTTTGTGTGTAAACTAAGAAATTATCGAGTAATGGTAATAATTGTGTCCAGGTGCTTCAGGGTCCTTCAGCAACACAGGACAGGTACGTCTGGTTTTACAAAACACATCGACCCGAATCAATTCAGAAGAGAACACTCACTGCTCGTCATGTGGGACACCTTCTCCATCTTCTTCAGGACCGAATCCATCCGTGAGTTGGTCTGGTCCATCTCATCGCCGAACTCTCCGAGCATGCTGCTCGAGACCCACACAGACCGAAACCGTGTGTTAGTCTAACGAGATCATTCATCCTTCTGGCCAGTACAGGGTGGGGCAGACCCTGGAGTCTATTCCCAGAAGCACAGCGTACGAAGTGGGGACACCCTGGGCTGGGACACCCTGGGCGGAGGTCACCCTGGGCGGAGGTCACCCTGGGCTGGGACACCCTGGGCGGAGGTCACCCTGGGCGGAGGTCACCCTGGGCTGGGACACCCTGGGCGGGGGTCACCCTGGGCGGGGGACACCCTGGGCGGAGGTCACCCTGGGCGGAGGTCACCCTGGGCGGAGGTCACCCTGGGCTGGGACACCCTGGGCTGGGACACACTGGGCGGAGGTCACCCTGGGCAGAGGTCACCCTGGGCTGGGACACCCTGGGCTGGGACACCCTGAGCTGGGACACCCTGGGCGGGACGCCAGTCCATCGCAAAGCAGACGCTCACCATCACACATTAAGAGCAAGATGTTAGACCACAAATTTGTGAGGAAACCCTACAACAGGCATACTCCACACACAGGGTACGATTCAAACCCCCAACCTTAGAGTAGTGTGCCACCCTTAATACTCTAGAAATACATTTCGCCGTATCAAGGGAAGCAACGAGGTGAGTGAAGGCGGCAGTGCCAGTCTGAGTCAAAGTGAAAATGGCTTGCCAAGTCAGTGCCCCCTCGAAGATGGCACCCAAGATGGCCGCCTATGTCGCCTAAAGTGTTGACCGATGATGGTAGACGGACCCCCTCAGCAGGGTCTGTTGCCATGGTGCTGGAAGGGGCGGACTCACACAGCCTGCTCGTCCAGCTCGTCGCCGATGCGGTCGGACATGTCCTTCAGCACACGGATGCTGCCCGAAACCAGCCCCAGCTGATCGTCCTGCTCCTGCATAATCAGCTGCCGGAAAGAGGGAGGGGCACGCTGGGTCCGTCATTCTCATTCGGCAGTCCGGCAAACTCAGGCCCCGCCCCCGCATCACTGGCACCGCCCTCCCTGTCCCTAACCCCGCCCACCTGTTGCTGCTCCTGCTGCTCCTGGATGTACCGCGAGTTGGCCGACACCAGGTGGGGTTCCAGCACCGTGGCGGCCCGGGCCGGTCCAGAAGCCGCCAGCAAGGCCTGAACGGGAGAGGGGGGGAATCATAACCAGTCAGCGGTACACATTCATGCCCCAGTGCACAATGCCAGCTTATAGGATTACCTTAATAACTCGTTCTCTGCAGTGGGGTGCAGTGTAGATGGAAACGTGTCAGCATGAGTGGAACACATTTATTTTACAGTTGCTTTTATCCAAGATGACAAACAACTGGGAAAGCAGGGTGCACCAGTCCCTGGAGCAACTGGGGGGGGTTAAGGGCCTCGCTCAAGGGCCCAACGGTGACATCACTATGCTGACATGGGGATTTGAACCAGAGACCTTCTGATGACAGACATCTTAACCTGCCGAGCCACACACTGCCTCCCTCAGCGGTCGTGACGGTGCCGCCATGGTCTTAACCCTCAGGGGGAGGAGGACCAGATAACATGCTCTATAATTAGTGTCTGGCCATTTCAGCGAAGCATACCAAGGCGCAGGGAGATAAGCACACCAGGCCTGCAGAAACGCATTAGTCCTAAGCTGACTCACGGACCCCCTTTTCCACAAAGCGCTCAGGATGTCATCTTCAGCAGCGTTTGGCACGGCGGAGCGGACGCACCTGTCGATTCTTCTTCTCAGTCCTGGCCATCGCTGAGGGGCTTGACAGCTGCTCCTTCATCTCCTGTGAGAATAATAACAATAATGATAATAGATACTTTTCATTGGTCCCTGTAGGGAAAGTCTCTTTTCACCTCCCCCCATCTTCAGGGGGCCACAGATATGCTGAGGCTGGGCTTGAACCAGCAACCTTCTGATCACAGGCACAGGGACTTAGCCTGCTGAGCCACACGCTGCCCTCAGGACACAAGACCACGCAGTCTGACAAAGGAAACTGAGGGTGTCGCACTAGGGTTGGTGGTTGTACAGCTGCAGATACGAAACAGCTGTTTTAAAGTCCAGACTGCCAGCCCAAAGGGCTCCACAGAGAATATCCTGCAGAAACACACACAGCAATCTGTGTCACATGACATGCACCTGCACGTCCTGCCTCGTCCGCTCCACAAAGTGCCTCCGGTCCTGCAGCTCGCTCTCCTCCAGTCTGAACTTGCCCGGATTGGACTCGACGATGCCTTGGAAGTTAAGGCATCACAGAGCTGACACTTTCAGGGCAAACCATTACCTCACCTGCCCCTCCCTCCCCCAACATGCTTCAATATTGGACATGTGACCTGTTACCAAAAGGCTTATTGCCAAATCCAGTGCAGGAAACTAGAATCGCTTCAGAAAATACACCCATCCATCTGGAGCCTATTCAAGGCAGGATACAGCACAAGGCTGGGGGACACCCTGGAAGGGATGCCAGTCCATCACAGCACACACACACACACACACACACACACACAATTCACAGTCACACACTATGCGTAACTTATAGGTATACTATGTGGGGAAAAACACAGAGCGAAGGCAGGATTCGAACCCATAACCCTAGAGGTGTGAGGCAACAGCGCTATGAACCACTGTGCTGCCTAAATAAATAGCCCCCCACCACCACTGGCAACACTGTCGTCTGGATACTGATGGTCTCATGAAGGTCCTCGAGGTCCCAGTCGATGGTTCTCAGACAGTTCCTCAGCTCATTGGTGCTCCAGTCCAGCTCATCCCGGCTGACAGGAGTACCGTCCTCCAGAAGCTCCTCCCACCGCTCGAAGAGTCCCCGTGCCCTGGCCAGGGCCTTCTGCACCTCCCTAAACACAGGAGTGTGTTACGATTAGAGGGAAGCGCTCAGCTCTGAACCTGCAGCAAAGGGCTGCTTCTGTGCCCTTGGGCCGCAACTGAGCTGGTCTTTGTAAACAAACAGAATGTCAAACATTGAGATAAAATTAGATTAATTAGATTAAATGACTGCTGAGCCATAACTTTCATTCTTACACAACACTTGGTTTCGGAGTGAGACTTTTTTTTTTAAATGCCACAACCAGATAAAGCTTCGCATTCATTTCACAGTATGACTACCGATGAACAATGTCGGCTACGAATAAGACTTTGTACAAACTCTGATGTTTCCTAAATTACATCTGTATGTAAACAGCGTATTCAGTTACAAAAAAAGATTACTGCGTGATTGTAAACAGCATCGGGTTTGACGAGTTTGGCACGGAAATCCGGTGTCCATGAACTAACGATCCTCAGCGAAAGTCAGCGTGTCCCGGTAGCCTGACAGCCAGCGCCAGCCCGACCGTCAGGGGTGCTTGTGTCAAACCTATTAGCGGGGCAATATTTCTACATTTTCTAGTACATGCGGTTGCGCCTAGATCACCGATCTCTCCAAGGGCCTTTCTGCGTGCTAGATTCAGCTGACGCAGAGACTCTTTTTTCAGGAATATGTCGAGGAATTGGGGTCTGTAGGGGAACTTCTGAACGGCGAATGGTGGCTGACTGGTCGCATGCCCCTCGGCGATTGCCTATAAACATATCGCTCCGACATTTACCCCTCGACACCCTCCCCCCTGCTTATGCTACGAGGACAGGCAAAGCAGCCCCGGGGAAGGACGCGCGGCACGGGCTCGCACCCCACCCCCCACAGACGCGGATCGCTCACCCTTTCACTACGAAGAACGGGTCCTCCATGGACATGCTGGCTCCTCGTCGGGACCCAAGGATATGCCGTCTGACTGCACCCAAGCACCAGTTACTCCCCTGTCACGTGACGGAGCTCGTCCGTCTGGTACAACACGCAGAGAACGCTTCCTACTTCCGGGATCGGGCGCGCGCGCGCGTGTGTGTGTGTGTGTGTGTGTGTGTGCGTGTGTCAGTAATTTTGTATGTCACTTTGAGGGGGCACAAGTAACTTAGTAACTCAGTTATTATTCAAGTACAAATCATGAACAAATACAGTAACTGCATCAACCGTTATGATTGATTAATGATGAACGAACACCCAGTTTCTGGTTAATTAATATATTAAGAGTGCATTACTACATTATTTGCAAAGGTGGCAAGTTCAGGTCCAGAAAGCATAAATCCAGACCAAGACTTTGTTTCAACCAACCAATTGAGTACTCTCTGAATGTGACTTTTTATTTCAACTGGTTGGTTCTAACAAAATCTTGGTCCGGATTTATACTTCCTGGATCTGAACTTGCTACCTCTGATTATTTGTGCGCCCTCTAGTAAAGTATTACCTGTATGTCTGTGTCTGTGTACGTGCGTGTGTACGTGTGTGTGGTTCTTAGCCGTTCTATTGCCATGATTTGTCTGAACTAATCTGGTTTGACTAAAGCTGGTGCCAAAATACCGATCATTTTAAAACTTTACATTTCCGTATATTTTTTCAAAGATTTTGTAGACAAGTGTAAATGCTGATTAGGAAGGAGAAAAATGCCCCAAAAATAATGTACATTTTTTGTTATTAATTGCTTTTCAAGTTTTTATAATAACGTCAGAATATTAAGTTAATTAAAATATAAATAATGTAATACGATGAGGACATTTTATTTTTACGGTCAATAACTTTGTTATTCAACGTTTTGTTTATAAACATTAATATTTAACGGGCATTGTGTCCAGCATGTTCCCCGCCTTGAGCCCTGTGCTTCCTAGGCGGGGCTGCGCATTCACAGTGACCCTGCACATTGTGGTAATTACAGTGTTAAAAGTCATAGTTAGAAGAGGAAAAACGCCTCTAGAGGGTAAATGCCATCTGGCTGGCCAATCCCTGCCCCCGCTGCCCCTTTGGTGTACTAACCCTACAGCAGTCAGAAATACAGTAATTATCTAAGTGTTTTTGGAACTAGAGCAGTGGCCTTAAGTGGAGCCCTCAGTCAGCATAGCCGCTGATACTGTCCAGGTCTGCCTCCAGCCATGAGGCATCTGCAAAGTGGGAGCAGCATCAGCAGTATTATTTCAGGGTAATCTAGAAAATACGCTGAGGTTAGAGAATTTTTAATAGGTGATCTTTGATCTAGGCTGCCATACTCAGATCATGGTGGTTGATGGTTCTAGAGCTTAAAGAGCTCTGCAGCTGAATTCTTTACCACCAGGAGTTATTGTATTTGTTGTAGGAGTTACAAGAAACCTTTAATCCCGAGATCTAAGAGTGAATTCCTGGCAGCTGACATTAATCACACTTGGTCTCACTAAAGGGAAGTTGGAATTTTTTCACACTTTCCCAGTATTGCCATTTTAGGTGTTTTCCTGTTTTTCACTTATCTCTAGAAAGATCACTGTGAGTTATTATAAATCAGAAAAATATCATATCATAAAATAGAAATAAATTATTATAAATATGCATTGTATTAAAGGAAAATTGATTTATCATGCAAGGACCAGATGTTCCATGCATGTTACAGTTAGATACATTTTTCTGAATCTTGAACAGCACAAACCTCTCCTGAATATATCTCAGCTGTGTTTGATAGCAAGTTAACACGTGTTGAGAACAGGTCTGAGAACTTTATTTGATTCATGTCCCCTTTTAGTCTGGAATAACCCCCAGAAAACTCCTAAGTTATGAACTTTCATAGCACTCAATGATTTTAAGACATGAGCCATGGATATTTGAAATAATGACCTCAGCAAATGCCTGTGCATATTTACTAAGCTGTGTTTCTGCAGATTTATGTCTGTCTGATACAGTTAATTTGTTTGTTGTCTTCATTGTTGTCGTTGCCTTAATTCGCTGCCACACATGCTATATATCTTAAAAAGAGATCTTTGATTGCTAGAGAAATGTTTAAACTGAATATGATGGAAAAGCCCTCAGATTTAAGAGTTGACATCATTCACTTTATTAATTCCATGTGCCGGAACCTTTTTTTTTTCCGTCAGGGTTTAACAATAGATCATTTCTTACACCAGTTTCATTGCACCATTGAAAAGCTATGCTGAGAGGCAAAGTGCCATATCTGGGGCCTGATTGGTCAGTCAGATCTGCCTTACTAATTCCTGCTTGTTGTATGACCTTCCTCAGCAGTAGTACAGATATACCAAACAGTACTGGTCCCAGCACCGGGCCCCTGTAGACCTTTGATCAATGACAGCTGGGACAGGGTAGACTTATTATTAGCTTCTTGAAGGTAATGAATAGCATTGTCAGAATAAGGGTATTAACATGAATGTTTATTGAATGACAGGATGTTACACCAGGATGTTGCACTGTGCCAGAGGACCTTGAACCTGTAATATATAACCAGATAATGTTGTAATATTTTTTGCTAGTAAAAAAGTTATTTTGCTAACTAGATTGGGTGGCTTGGGGCTCTCTTAGCTTATTTCAATGACCAGCCAAACAGCTCAGAATCATCCGGTTCCATTGTGCATATATATACTGCTTGGGGAAAAGTTAAGAGACCACACTATATTCTTAAAAAATCTGCATTTTTAAATCCTGGTTTAATCCTGGTTCTGGAAACACTGGCAATAATCAAAAAACCAGTCAGGTAAAGGGCGGAAGCTACTTTTTAATGGCAGAGATGACAGTCAACTTATCCTGCAGTGCCTCATAAATCGGAGAGTGACCTCAAGTGACCTTCAAAAAGAATGCATAGGACTGAGTGGTGTGAAGTGCACTGCTAGGACAGTTCATGACAGGTTTCCAGAAGCAAGACTGAAATCCCATAAAGCCAGGAAGAAGCCCTTCATTAATGAGGAGCAGGGAAGAGCCAGGCTGCAGTTTGCAAAAAATATATATATTTTACACAGGCACATACCCATAAATTGAGAAATGATTGAAACTGAAAATTTTGCTGTGTTCTCCTAATTTTTTCCAGAGCTGTATGAAAGGGTGATTGTTTTTTGTTTGTTTGTTTGTTTCATTTGAGAAGGAAACACAAGAACTTTCAACAGGGCCTGTATCATGAAGCAGGATTTTTTGCTTAGCTGGAAAACTTGTCAGATTTAAGGTAGTCTGGACTAAATGTAAGTGATTAAAGAATATCTGCTCAAACGTAACGGGTGCCCGGTCACCTGAGGCCTACGACTGGGTACGGGTGGTGCCTCAGGGTCAGGGCATGGTTACCCAGATGGGAGTAGCAAAGCTCAACCCTATGTAATATTCGGGGATTAGGGACACGTGAAATAACTTACTGTGTTCATCCTCAGGATGGCCACACCCACTCTTACAATGGCGATTTTCTTCCTCTTAATTTTTCCTCAATCTTTAAAAACTAATTGCCCATATAGGAGAGGCAAGGACTAACACTCCTAGCATGTACACTGTGCAGTACCACATTATTCACAGAGCCAGTGCGTTCCATTACACTGCTTCTCCCTGTCTCCTGTAATGGGGAAAAACGTTAATTAGAACAGGTCATGTGCACTACAGTTAAACCTTGTAGAATGGTGTGTTATTCCTGTTTTATGTTTTTTGGCAGGCTCAGTGTGAGGTCATTAATTGTAGGTAGAGGATGAGGAATCCTCAGTCCGCCGTCTGTTCTGTAGCACAGCTGGTTTCCTCAGTACCCGTGTCCATCATGCAGGCAGTCCAACATTTCACAGCATGTCATTTATGTCGACCCAGTGTTACCTTTAAGCCCCGCCCCCTCAGCTCCTTGGTGCAGATGCCCCGCCCACCACTGTCTCTCACTGTCTGTATCTTCCACTCCCTTCCTTCCTCCCAGCCCTCCTGGCTGGATGATCCTCCTTTCCCACGTCACCCTACCTACTCCCGCTTCCCTTCTCAGGTCCTCCTCTTTCCGCCGTGGTCCACACCCCTGCTCCTCCTCCACACGAGTCTCTTGTGTCCCATCCCCCCCCCCCCCCCCCCCCCCTGAAGAACTCCCCAAGTCTGACGTGACCCAGAAAGTCCATACAAGGTGGGTCGCTGTCACTGTGCTTCCCCAAACACCAGCCACCAAGGAAACCACAGTGTATTTTATTTTTTAATAAAGGTGTCTATCCCAACACAAATAAGCCTGCTCTCCCCAAGGCACTTGGACATGGATTGTCTGCTTACGTAATGCCATCCCCCCCCCCCCACATAACCCCCCCCCCCCCCATCGGATTGGTTCTGGCACCTGCACTGCACAGAATCACGTATGCAGATGTGCAGTTAGAACTCCATGCTTTATGGATAAAGTATTCAAAGTGACAGCTTAAAAATGCCATTGCTGGAGGGCGGAGCGGCTGAAGCGTCCCACACTGTGTCTCATCAGCCAGCCGCGGCTCCCAGGCAAGGCTCCCGCGATCGGGAGCAAGTTTTATATTTAAAAAACATGACTCCTCTCAAGCTGGCAAAATGTGCGTGCGAGTGAATGGTGTGTGCGCTCTGCCATGGGTTGGCACCCCATCCTAAGTCATTCTCTGTCTTGCACCATAGCTTCGCAGATTGGCTCCATGCCCCCATGACCTTGAATGGATGGATGAATGGATGGATTGATGGATGGATGCACAGACTCTTTTTATTGTTTTCATGACTACATTTCTTATCAAGGTGTATTCTGGACCAGTGAATTATTACTCTGCATACACTATTAGGAGATTAAGGGTAAAAGTAAGCACCAAATATACAATCAGGGGCATTGCTAAAAATTTTGGCCCCCATACAAGCGTATCATAATGAGACCCCAGTCCTGACCAATCCAGTTACAATTAGGGCCCCTGTCATTGGTTTAAGAATCATCCTAACTACCCACCCCAAATTACAGTATATGGGTGCAGCACATAAAGGACGTGAGACACAGCAGTTTTTATTTATGTATATTTTTGCCCAGTTACTGAACCAGCGCTTGTCCAATGGTTGACCTGCACCCCGGTGTAGAATGAGAAAGCTGGGCAGTAGAACATGGAGCTTGGCGTGGGCGATGGCCAAATCCCCTTTAGCTCCCACTATATATGGTAAAGGAAGTGCTACGAAGCGAGCGTCACCTCATTTTCCCCTGCGCGCACTCGTAGGGAAGGCGGATGTATCATATATGGGCATTTGGCGTGACGTCAACGAAAAAAAAAAACCCTCTCGAAGTCTTTATTCGAATATAATAGCTCCAAGTGTTGGCGACGGTGAGGCCATTGAAAATACTTTTTGTTAGAACTGCTCAATATAAAGGCTCAAATTTTGAAACTGTCTGGTGTTGTGTCGGGGCTAAATTTCGATTTAATTACAACTGGTATCTATAAAGTCAACTTTAATTTTATATTTAAATAAAAGGTATTATACGTCATTGTATACGTGAATTCACTGCCCCCGCAAATGATAATTAACTAACAATTTCATTATAAAACACTATTGTGACATTGGCTGATTAGTTGCCAGTTCTGTATTAATTGTCTTGTTGTATATTATTTGTTACCAGGCTGTGTATCTCTAAGCGAGCAGGTGCACTTCTGCAATCTTACTCTTCAGGTGCCCATTTGTGAAAAGAACACCCTTTCACCTGCGGTACAGCCTGGCACATATAACGACCTTCAGTTTCATGTATTATTATTGTTCTTCTTCTTCTTCCTCTTCTTCTTGCTATTACTAATATTATGCATGCATTATTGTTAGACGGGTGCATATTATATACAATTACATATAAATCATGCAAGTCATAAAACGCAAAAAGCATATAAAAACCTACGATCTACCTTCGCACAATGCCTTAAATATGCATATTTTGTCTTTGTTGATGCAAGGCACAAATATTGTGTAAACGGTGAACATGATCATTATGGGTTACTACATATGCATGCATCTTCATACATTTTTGTGACATTAAATATTGTGTTATATGCCACCTGATTTCTCTCTTACTGAACGATGGAGAAATCGGAACAGACTGTACTTAAGGTACGTTTTATCCTTTCTATAGCAAGCCACCGCAAAAGGGGCGGGGCGCTCGCTGTCAATCAAGAACCGGCGACATCCTATTACGTCAAAGCCGTAATAAAACACCCACCCGTGGCACCTACAAGTTAATGTGAGTGACGAGCGAGCAGCTGCTGAGAGAAATATACGTTGTGCTGAACAGCGAAACACTACAAAAAAGTTTATTTTTCCTTAACAACAAAAAGGACAGTTCACAAAAGTGACCTCCGATTTCTTCGGGGTTTCCAGTTTCTCCAAACGCAAGAAGAGAGCTGCAATGGATGTGAGCGCTGAAGCCAAGCGGATCATCGCTCTGTCCCTCACTAAGCTCTATGGTTTACGCTCCCAGCGCGGCGGGTTCGGGCTCCAGCGGAGCCTGCTGCTGTCGCTGGTAATGAAGTCCGCCCGGAACATTTACCACAATTCTCGTGTGATCATCGAAAGCCAAGAGTCCGGTCCCCGGTGTGTAGAGGAACTGACGGAGGAACCCAAAGCCGAGACCCCTGCGGCTCCGTGCCCCCCTGCGGAGGGCGAGTGGAAGCCTCGGCTCTCCAGATGCGAGAAAAGCAAAGAGAACAAGGAGAACCAGGGACCGTCCCGACTGGACCGTCAGTCGCGGAAGCGCAGAAGCAAAACGGCCGGCGAGCCAGACTTCCTGCCCAGCAAAAGGGCTAGGATGGAGACTGGGGAGGAGGGCAAGACCGTGTCATTTATGAGCGGCGGCGTGAACTGGTGTCGAGCTGGATTGACTTCCGTGCCCCTGTCCCATGCCATTGCGGCTTTCTGATGTGGGACCTCCTGAGCGGATCGAGTCATTCTAAAAGCTCCCCAGAGCCCAGCCGCAGCGCAGACGGCGAAGGATGAAGGGCAGATCGCCGACCCCCGCACCCTCCGTGAAGTCGGAGAGGACGGTGAAGAAACATGCCCGAAGTGGAGCAAAAGGGAGAGTCACTGGCAGGGCAGGGGAATCCTGACCGTGCAGTCAGGGCGCTGAGTCATAGTTTCATCCGATGAGTCAGACTCACCTGGTCGCAGCTGCTTGCGCTCAAAACTCCAGCAAAACTACCATAACGGGAAATGCAAGACGGCAGCTAATATTCCGTAAAGCCGCGGACCCCGGAAGGAAGCACAGTTATGTTGGGGATCAAACAACGTTGTTTTTTCCAGCTGTTTAAATGTGAATCTTAATGATAAACCCTGTGCCGTATTTGTCCATGTACAGGTGTATGCATCTGCACTAATGCAGACGTAGGCCTATACATTCTTTATTAAGTGGCGAAAATTGTTTAATTTAAATTCCATTTTAAGCCCCGGGCCTGCTTTTGTAATTCAATGTCTTGGGTAACTTGGTAAATGAAATTGAAATGTTTTATGAATTGTTAATTTTATCATTGTTTCAATTGTCATTTACGTCTGCATCGCTAAAAATGCGTTTGAAAATATGTAGGCCGCGTTATAACCGGTCTACACTTAGAGAATAGCGTGATAAAATGCATCCAGTAAGGGCCAGTTATATAGCTGAAAAATACCCTGAAAATGAGGGAGATTCGACGGAAACAGTCCGACTTGTTAAGGTAAAAGGACGGAATGGAAAAATAGCATCCCAAGATGCACATAAGCGGTGTACATCTGCAAACTGATAAATCTCCCCGTATTTATTGTCACACACACTCACACGCATATATATATATATCATTGCCTGTTCTAGCCCTGGTTTAATCATCTGGTGAGCACAAAATACACTGGGATTTGTTTTGTACTAGGACGAGACCATGCAAATTGTGTAACGATTTATGTTCTTAATTATCATATTTTTGGTTATCCCTGCAATACCTGACAGAACAAGTGTAGCTGTTTATGTGAATTGTGGCCTCGTTATTAGGCAAAGAACACCGAAATTTACATTAGTAGTGCGCAGTCCTAGTATGCCGGTGTATCACACCCCTGCGTTTACATTTTAATAGTGACGGTATTTTGCGATTACATAAAGGCTGGAATATTACGATACACACAACAGTCGACATGTGAAAAAATGACCTCATTTTTACAAATAATACTGAGTATTATTTTTCAATCAATTTTAATTTCTCAATGTCTCCCAAACGATTCACAAAGGTCCGTATCCATGTGTTACTGAAGGGCTAAATGCCGTCCTTGCGGTACACGATTGTGTAGAAAATATATAAACAATATTCTACAGTGGGATTGTCACGCCCGGCTCGTCCGGATCTCCGCCTTCCTGCCTCGCCTCTCCCCGCGATCGTGACAGTGATAATCCATCCTGACACATTTTAAGTGTAGTCCAGCTTGCAGTACTTGTACCTGCTGCTTTGGAATTAAGAGACGCATGAATATCCACTCCTTTAAAGACATTAAAAGCTTAAATATTTTCGAGTACTATATCATGTAGTATTTCTTCAATGGAAATTGAACGGAATTCTAATAAACCATTTCGAAATTATTTTTCCGGTTTTTTTGTGGTTGGATAAAAAAACGTTATGTTTAGCTGGATGATATACCTTCTTTGTATCTTTATGCAAAGGTTTACAAGAGAGTTTGATATCGGGGCCGGGGCACTTCAGGTTCCTACGTCTTAATGAATGCCAGCTAGATTTTATTGAACCCCACCCCGCCGTTCTCATGAACTCCTCCATGCGACACGAAATGTTTTGACTAGGCATTTCTCCGTTAACCTACATGTGCGGACCTGTTTATGCACACCCTCCCCCCACAAAACACACGCACACCCACCGAGAAAATGCCCGTGTGGTGTCCTGGGGGAAGGGGGTGTCAGGAAGCAGGAAATGAGTCCCGCGAGCGGAATGTGGGCTATTAAATAGCACTTACTGAACGGGACATCCGTTCATCACCCCGCCGTTCGGTACTGGTGTAAAGGGGGAAGTGCCAATCAATTGTAACTTAAGTTTTCTTCTCTTGTTGAGAATTTTGTTAATCATTGTGGTTTATCGTTTTTTATTATTCTGCCCCTTGCTCGATTTGAATACACTAGTTAAAACAGCCAATACTAGTAAAATACTAAGGGACGGGAAGCAGTAACGAACCGTAATTCTTGAGATGAAGCTTGGGACGGAAATGCCAGGACGGTTGCACTTTTGTCACAGCTTGAGATATTTCAAAGTATACATTATTTCACCAGTCACATACCATCCCACACGTCTACTGGAGCGGCAAGACTCCGCCTCCCCACTGGGCAAAGTCCCCCTCCAAATCACAAACACACCACAAACACACATTTTTAGCATCTTCCACTGTGTTTCTACTTGATCAATTTATTTGCTATTTATTATTGTATTTGACGGAACTGTAAATCACTCTGTGTAGCACCTCTGTCAGAGCAACTACTATACTTTTACTACTACTACTACTACTACTACAATAATAATAATAATTACAATAATAATAATAATAATAATAATAATAAAAGCATACACATATTTCTCAATGCATTAAACAATGTTGTGCATTCTGGAGAGTGAGGCAGGAAGACCAGAAAATGAGGCGCAAGACTGACAATGCATTCTCTCTGGTTTATTCTGATTCAGTGGGAAGAATTCTTTCTGGAATTACAAAATGCACTGATAGAAACTGCAGAGAGTAAGAGAGAGAAAGACAGCAAGACGGAGAGAGATCTCTTACCCAGAATAAGTAAGCTAATCAGATTCAGGCAGCTTCTTATGCTCAACAGGAGTGATTTAACTATTTTTTTGTTTTGTTTGTTTTTAGACATTTCAATGACTTCTGTCTAATTCACCAGGCCCCTGTGAACATCTGGCTATAGAAATAAAATATACATTTCTTGCTTTTAAAAATAGAATAAAGAACACGTTGCTTTTAAAAGCATCTATATTTATATGTGTACTTTTCTGTTATTCTTTTGTTCCTGAAGATGAGCCCACACTGTGGCATGCACTTTGCACATGCAGTTCTGTAAGTAGTTTTTTTTTTTGTTTTCGTCTTCAATCACCTCTTCTGATTTGTCTTTTGAATTCCCTGGTGGCTCCTGCGTTTAGGTACATATTCATTTGATGGACTGGTGGTGTTATTCTGGAAATGTGAGGTAATGAGATGAGAGATGCTGAGAGAAGGGTAGCCTTTTACTGTGACAGGGGGAAGACGCCTCCCAGAAATGCGTATTTACTCTGGTGCTCAACATAGGCACACAACGCAGCTAGCTTAAACGCCAAACTTATATCTGCTTCATCGCAGATACGGTTAGGGCAGCAAACAGCTATGTCTGGCCTGAAAGGCAGAGTGACCAAGACCAAGCCAGTCAAAGTCGTCCTGACTTCTGTTGTCCACTGCATCTCGGTTGGCTTCCTGACACACAAGCTCAACACTCAGGTGATCCAACAAGATCAGACATCAACAGGCTTACTTAAGAGCAAGTACTCTAGCTACAAGGGTCTTTGCGTCAGTTACTTATTGAGATGGTCATTGCCATAATTTTGCATGTTGGCACCTTCTGGGTACCCATTTCCAATAGTGCATATTCATCATGCCCGTACCTACCATTGAGGGCACCACAGTCAAGTTCTCAATATTTATGCTGCATATCCAATAACTACGATCCGTGAGGCACACCTACGAAGGGCTATCACTTCTGACCTCGGTATTTTAAAAATCCTGAAATTCATTGTTTATATTCACGCTGTTCCTCTGCCTCCAATTGACCTATTTGACTGGTTGCTTCTATCGCTTACTGTTACCTAGAGTGACAATAAATTTCTGCATGTGCTGGTTACAGTACCAACCATACTACCCTGGGGATTGTATGTTGAAGAGTGTATTATAAAATCAGGAAAATCTATGTCTAGAAACGTATGTGATGTCTCTTACAAAAGCCACCGTCTAACAGGCATGACACTGACATACTGACATTGTAGAGATGGAGAGACAATGAATTACAAAAAAAAGAATGGACACAATGGAAGTAGTTCCTGAAGGTTTATGACCGATACAAACAATGATTTTAAGAACAAATGTACAGAAAGGAAGGTGATCGACCCCAAGAGCCCCACCCACCCAGCGTGAGAACAGAAAGGGCAACTCATCGCAAATCTTACTTCTGAATTGTTCTCATGATTCAAAGCTTTGTCTCATGGAGGGCTATGGAGGGCTATCAAGCAGGCATGACTTTTGGATGAGGAGAGGTGGTTTGAGGAACGGGAAGGGGGTGAGTGAAAACCATTCTATGCCAATGAACATCTAAAAGATCTACCTATCCTGTTGTTGTGTGCCAGTCACTCAGATATAAAAACATGGCATCTGGGGGGGGGGAGGCTGGTGGTGACAGTGATGGAATTTATGGTTTTAAGGCACTGGAATCAATGCACTCTGAACGTGGCAGGGACCCCAAATACGAACGTACAAGCGCAGCCGTTACGGAGGGCTGTGACGTCTGGCCTGCTCTGTGTGCTTTCCGTTAAGAGGCGCGGTGTGTACCATAACACAGAAGTAGGTGTTTCTGTACCGAGACAGGAGACTGGTTGGGTGGCAACGTGACGCAGTGTTCCAGAGAAACCCTTATAAAAGTGAGTCAACGTGAACAAATCCTCAAAAGACTCACAAAACTTTCAGGGGGATAAAGTCTTCAACAGAAGGGCAGGGCTGAGCATATTGATTTAAACAAGCGCTTATCTTAGGGAAGAGGGAGAGTGAGGCTGGGAAGGGACAGAATTCCAACAGTTTCATATAGAAGGAAAGTTTGGAAAAGACCAAGCAGGGGCAACTTTTAAAGAAATAAAAAAAAACATGCAAATTTGAAGGATGGCCGTGTGACACAACCTTAGAAACACCGTTTGTGGAGCACAGACGGCAGTACACGCACTGTGTCTGTCATCTTGGAATCACACTTCAAAAGGTAGCATTTATCCATTTATTTATCGATGAACATGCGGCACTTGGAGCTGGAATGGACTTGCTTATCCATGTGACCCATCCATACTCACTATTAAGTGCAAGTTTTAGGAAAGAAAAATATACGGTATAATAGATCACTTGAAACCGAAGGATTTTTTTTTTTTAACTGACAGGAAAGACTTGGCCATTTGTGAAATTCTTGCAAGACCTGAGAGGAAAGAAAAGCACAATCCAGCAGTTGTGTGTTTTTTTTTCATGTCAATCCAAGGACACTTAATTAACTTCCTCTATGTTATCCTCATAACTAGAAGTTGCTAGAAACTACCAAATCGGCTGGGGTAATAACCAACACTAGTGGAACATACAGGCAATACACATATAAAAAGAAACAGAACGTACTAGAAAACAGGTAGAAAACTCAGCAATGCATATTCCCAGTTAGGAAGACAGCCTTTTTATGCAGGGAAAAGCTTTGCCGTCTTCTCCAATCCTGCTGAGATTTTTGCCTCATGAATGGCAACTTCAGCTTTGGGATCTGTTCCTGGAGAGTGTTGACCCAAACGGATGGGGTTTCTCTTCCATTGGGTCTCCTGTCTGTCACTGGGAAAACCTCATACCAGCAGTCACTGGGACTGATTAAGGCTCAGAGTCAGCCAGAGGCGAATCTACAGGCTTGCAGGACATGATAGAGAGAAGACACAATTCTCAGGTCTGCGAGTTTTAGGCTGAGCAAATGGTCTGAGACTGGATGGAGACTGCTTAGGGGGGATATAGAAGTACTCAAAAAAAAATCTTGGTGGGCCAAGGCAATGAAATGAGATGAGATGGGAAGGGAATCACTGTAGCTGATATCCTTCCATTACTTCACTGACTCAAAAACACAAAGACACAATTTGGACCAACTACAATGGCAAGAAACAACCAAAAGTTTGCACTGCAGAAAGTCATTATTATTTCTCAGCAGAAACACTGTGTGTCTTAGGTTTAACTTCTCTGAGTGTCTTTGTTGTCTTTCTATAATCACTGTTGTGCCAATAAACAGCAAAAATAGTTAAAATCTGAGATATAAGTTTAATTTTGAATGAAAATGACCTGTGATCAATGGAAGTCTAAGACAGAAGCAGCTTAGATATTTCAGCAGCCTCATGTCCCGTGACACTTTAGATGGATACAGGGAGAAAAGATACTGCAGACAACTGCTTTTGGATCCAAGAGAGCCTTGTGAAGATTTATCACAAGAAAAGTCAGAGAAATGCGAATCTTGCGAACGTTGTAGTGATGTCATTTTAAATTTATGACGACAAACCAGAGAACCTGCTGTATTTTTTCCTTCTGGGACGCTACATCTGCATAAAATGAGACCTTTTTAGATACATTCAGAACTTTACAATATCCAGGTAATGTTATGATAGTGTAATATTAAGTAAGGTGAAGATTGTGTATGCTAAGATCTATATGGACTGAATCACGTGCAAAAGTATCTATGTTTTATAGGGTGGATATTTTAATGTATAATGCTCTATTCAATTTTGAACAGCTCAAAATTAGGTGAAGTGACAGATACCAGAGGGCCAACTGGTGTGAAAACGACAACAAACAGAATGGCAGTGATAACCATGATGATCACGATGATGATGATGGTGACGGAGATGAAGGTGGCAGTAGTGCTAACCAATCAGCATACTGCTGGCTGGTGTGCTTGATGACAGTGAAGAACATGCTCACTGCATCGAAAGCCCAGGGGAAACTAAAGTCAAGTATGACTGAAGAGGCCACGTCTTCTTGTCTCCAGCTCAGTAAAAACAAATGGGTGAACAGCTTCAGATTATGAAACTAAGGACAGCAGGCTATCGTTACAGCACCTCCTGGTGTCTAAAAATAATGAAGAGCCCTGTCCTCTTAAGTTGCTCCCCAAAGACTCAACAGCACCACCCTACAGTCAATGAACAACCAACACTCACCTGTTTCACATTTCACATACATGTAGCTTTAAGAAGCACTGCTTCACATTGTCTAGTGTGTTTCCTTATGTTTCTGGATGTTTTCAGTGCATTCAGAAATCAGATGCCCAGGGTAAATTTTGGAAAGGATTTTGAGGTGCTTGATCATGCCTTTAATGACCGATATTCCGATTATTGTTTGTTCACCCAAATTTGGAACTACAAACACAGTCAGACATCTTGAAATTCATAGTGTACGGAAAGTGTGCATTCCATCACCTTCAGGCAAGCAGGAAACTGAACGAAACATTCTTAAACTGAGTTCGAGAAGTGCCTCAGATTGGTACAGGATGCCTCCAAGCACAATTTTTTTTTCAGGTCAGGTAAACACATTGAGGGCTTGGAATCTGGGATCAGGGGTCGCTGTTGGGTCTTTGAGAAGGTGTGGCTACATCAGCTTGGCTGAAGCTTGACCCCTCCAGTATGGTTTCAGTCCAGTTCAGAACCCCAGTTGTGAGGATCAGTTGAAGGTGCAGGCCAAAGGCATGAGTTTGATTTCAACACTGGTAGGGACCAAATCGGCCCCCCGTCCCTCTAAATATACATGGTAATCCCAAAATTTTGGTAGGGGCATGTCCTTGCCGTCCATGCCCAAATCTACACCCTTGGTGCAGACCTGCCTCCATGTTCATGCTACTTTCACTATAAACAGGTCAGAACCACAAAAAGCCAATGTGGTCCAGCACTCAATGCCACACAAGCCCCCCCCTCCATTCTGCCTTCTTAGTCATTCAGAAGGGTAGCAGTCTCAGCCCTCACATGGCTCTTGGTGCTTGGAGCTAAGAACTGGTTTTCAATGCCATGGCATCTGTCCCACAATGCAGCTGTTTGAAGCAGATGCATTGTGTTCACAATCCCAGGACCCGAACAGCAAACAGAGAAAAACAAATGAGAATACAATAATGGTACCCAAAGTGACCACAGCTGACTCCAAACACATAAAACAAGTTTACAAGAGATTCACTCTCTTATAATCATCATCATTACCATCATTATATATATTTACCTATAATAATTTATTATAATTAACTCTAAAAGCTGAGAAATTCTCCCTTTCTCTCTTCTGTACATTCTCCTCTTTTTATATTTTCTTTATTTATTTATCTATTTATTTTTTTCTTTTGGGAAATCAAAGACACGAGAGCTCCACTAGGGGCCGCTATGTACAAACCCGTTCAACACCCCCACCCACCGGTAATGTGTATTTATCAATATAAAAAGCAAATAATAATAATAATAATATAGTGCATACGTTTCATGGTACATTTTCTCTGCTACCATTATTTTGGAATGACTTACAAAAATACAGTGGAATAATGTGTCATTGTCCAATTCAACAACGTTTTATTCCGATAGACAGAGAGAAAGAAAGAATTTCTACAGACTTAGAAAAGGACTGGGAGATACTCTCCCATCATACAGTAAAGCTTCTCTCTGTTAAATATATATATATTTATCATTCATGCAGGATTCCATCAGATTTTACTCTAAAGGGTCAAACAAGGCTGAACAGGTGCAACAAAATAATCAAGCTCGAATGTTCAAGTAGAATTAGACGAAGCAATAGAAGAAATACTTAATGATTTGTCAGTTTTTTTTTTCCCAGGCGAACCCCTTCCTTCTTTTCCATCGTTCTCCTGGTTTGGCCCAGTATAAGGGACTATGGAAAGTGGGGGGTAGGGGGGCGGGTGGCAGAAGGCATTCATCTTTACATCCGCCCAACCCCCCCCCCCCAAAACACTGTCCTGATGTCGCCGTGCTACACTGCTGCCCGAAAGGGGAGCTGAAGTCACAGTCAGCATTAGTGTGACTAACAGTAAACAGTGATGATAAAACTCATCGAAACCGGCCAACATGGAGGTTGGTTTTTGCAGTAAATGCAGTTCAGTCTTTGAAGGAAAAGTGGCCGTTCTCCCTTTCAGTTATTTTTTTTCCAAGGTTGTTTTCTTGGAGGCAAAGGGTGTGTTTTTGTTGTTTTTTCTTAGTTCCCATGGAAACGGGACAAGGATGTGTGCGTGTGTTTGCTTTGGGGGTAGGTCGTGCATTACGGGGTGGGGGGGGATATTTCCTGCCGTACTGGGAACAGCCAATAAGCTCTGGGCTAGGCGTCGGACAGCACCTTCATATCAGGCGGCGGCAGCTCGACCCGGAAGTGTTTCACTCGGACAGGAAGTGGATGTTGGTGTACCAAGACAGAATACCAGTAGGGGTGCTGTGATAAGCACATTGGTATATTAACAGCACGGTTAGTTAAGCCCATGCTCCCACCGTCTCAGTGGAAATGACCCAAACATCATATTGTTTGAAACATTTATAGAAATGTACGCTAAATATATATATTTTTTTCATGCTTCATACACAAAAATATAAGTTTTGTTGTGTGCCGTACAGCACAAATTCACATTTTGTTATTTCTTAGCTGTTTACTCCTGCTTAGTGCACTGAGTCGTACCTCTAACATGTTAGTGCTCAATGTATTTAATGCCGAATGAATGAAATCCTGAAAGTACGTATCAATAAAAAGCCGGAATGTTTCTGGTGGTAGAGGGGGCCTTTCCATAACCTCACGTGAAGGTGCTTCCAGACAGCTAGCCTGTAGCCTTTAGCATCCAGTGCAGAGCGACGCGGCTTCTCTCATGCCTGCGTCTCCCCTCTGCTCCGGCTTCCTCCGCCCGGTGATCTCCTGAGACCGCCTCCCCATTTCTCCAGCGGATGGAAAAGACAAAAAAAAAAAAACAAACCAACATGCCGCCTCTCCCGCTTTGCAGTTCAAGGTCTCCTCAAGCTACTGCCTCTCACTCCACCTTCTCATGGATCCAGGAGCCCCACAGCACCTCCCCACCTGCCCCCGTGGCTAGCACCAGTCGTCTTCATCGGTCTCACTGTACGGTTCATGAGGTCCTTTTCTGGGTCCTCTCGGGTTGGGGGGGCGGTGAGTTGCCAGGTGGGGGCTGCGTCGGTGGGGGGAGGGTGAGGTTGAGCGGTAGCCATTGGGCAGACGGCGGGGGGGCGGGTGGACGTGGGGGTTGGGTGGATGGCGGGAAGTCCTAGGTGAGTGTGGGTGCGGGTTGCCCTGGGGGGTGCCCTGGTCATAGGCGGGTGGCTCGTGCCGGTCGTACTTGTAGTCCTGGCTATAGGGGGCGCTGTCATTGTCCGTGGGGGGAGCCCAGTGGTGGGCGTGGCGGCCAGAGCGTGGGGAGCCTTGCTTGGGCTCGGGAGAAAAACGGCGAAGGGTGGGGGAGGCCAGTCGGCTCTGCTGGCCCCCCTGGGGGGGATTGGCGCCCTTACGGACCACGGGGGAGTAGGTGACATGTGGCCGGGGTGTTGAGGGGGTGGGGGGCAGCTGGCGGCGGCCGTGCCGGGGCGTGCTGGTGCCGGAGGTCGAGGGGACGGGACTCCCGCTCACAGAACTACTGCCCTACACGAAAAGCGAAACAAAGCAAATAAAAAGGCACCACAAAATTACCAACAAAAGGAGAAGAACAAGACGGTAGCCAGACCATAAGACGAAGAAGACGACGAGGGGAGAAGGGGGAGGGGCAACATGGAAAATAATAAAACACCGGAGAGAGAGAGAAAGAGAGAGAGAGAGGCGAGGAATCCCAGAGAGTAAACAGATGCACAAAAAAAAACGACAAGGACAAAATAAGATAAAAAACAACAACGACAGAGAAAGAGAAATTGTTTTATGTGAGCTCTCTGGAATTAAATCGTCTGATTTCTGCACTCAGGCTGGCTCTGAAGCTGGGGCTCGTCTATGCAGACGGACATGTGACACCGTGGGGACGACGTCATCGGGGAACGGCTAAATGCCCATGTGCGCGTCACATAAATAAAAATCTATGGAGACAGAAGCTCTAAGGTCAGTGTTTAAGGTATATCTGTGAGTGCAGTGCAAGGGCACCGGTAGGGTGGTAAAGGTGCCCCCCCCCCACATTTGCCCATCTCTAGTGATGCTCCTGTTACAGTGTATAACATGGTGTGTAACGTGGCTCAGCATGGGAGTACAGGGCTAAGCGTGTGTGTCTCTGCCCCCGTTTGGATTCAGTAGGCATGGGACCCACCTGTCTGTGGGTCCGGCCCTCGCTGGGAGAGCGGGACCAGTGGCGGTCTCTGTCGTGGAGCCGGCGGCCGGGCTCTCCTCGCTCGTGCCCGTAATGTTCCTTGTCCATGGAGCTGTGGTGGTGATGGTGGTGGTGGTGGTGTCGCCGGTCCTTGGCGCGGCCGCGTTCCCGGTCCCGGTCCTTGGCCGGTAGGTCCCCTGACTGCGTGGTGGTGCTGAGGTCGGTGCCGAGCCCTGCCGATCACAGCCAGTGAGGGCCCAGCTTCTTCTAGACTCACTGTAGATCTACTCTGTGTCTCATTCCCTCTCGTACCAAAGCTACGGCATTTCTGTATGCTACAGGGGGGTGGAGGTCTGCTTCGGCTGCAGCATATATACACATGTGTCTGATAATTCCCGATTACCCTTCCTGCTGTCCCATCCAGGTGTCCCCTAAACCAGTGTTTCCCCACTTGGTCCTCAGAGACTCCCCTAGACAGTTCAGGTTTTCGCTCCCTTCCAGCTCCCTGCCGGGTACAAATTTGGCCAGTCTGGGGGTCTCCCAGGACCAGGCTGGAAAGCACAGCCCTAAATGATGCCCTGGTACAGGCTTCAGACTCTTTGCAATCCGCTACTGGATGGGTGGTTATGGATATATAGACATTTATCCTCCGTTACTTTTAATGAGGAAAAATGCATCCAGTGCAGAGTTTTGTGGGAGAGGGCAGTCTAACCTAATCAGCAGAGGGCACCTGTATGGGATATTAGTCCACACACACACACACAGACACACACGTAGGGTAAACATATCCTTATGGGGACCGCTCATTCATTTCAATGGGAAAAATGCTAACGCTAACTCTGACAACCTTAACCCCTACCCTAACCATAACCATAAGTAACCTAACAAAATACAAAAGTTTTTGTTAGTTTTTTCATGGCAGTCACCGATTTTTATAAAATAGAGTTTTCCCTTATGGGGACCAGGAAACCAGTCCCCATAAGGGAAAAAAAACAGATATTTATCACGTTATGGGGGGGGGACATTATGTCCCCATAAGGATAGGTAAACCCACTCACACACACAGACACACACACACACACATTTGTAATTATATCCTTGTGGGGACTCTCCATTCATTTCTATGGGGAAAACTCTAATCCCAACATGACGACCTTATCCCGTACACAGCCAGTTGTGATTGCATTTGCAGATCTTTGTGAGGACCAGAACAATGGTCCCCACATCAAAAAAAACAGGCTATTATGACATTGTGGGGTAGATTTGGTCCCCACAATGTAATATAAACCTAATCCACACACACACACACACACACAGTTACACCCAATGGGGAATTTAAACACACCACGTCACCCAAACCACATGTGTTTGAACAGCAGGAGGAAATCTATGCCACTTGGGGGGGATGCAAACGGAGCACAGAGCCTGGGGGTGTGAGGTGACAGTCATCTACTGAGGCACCATACTGCCCCCTACATATTTTACTGAAAATTAATGCAGTTTCTCATTTAACTACATTCAATTGGCATATATGGATGCAAGCTGTACTTATAATATGATATATATGAAGGAACACCCCCCCGGCAGGGCGTCCCTGATGGGCCTCAGGGTGTGTCAGTCTGTCTCCCAGCAACAGCAGAGCGACACACCGTCCTTTCAGTAGAACCTACCGTGTAGCTCTGCAGATGGATTGAATGCACAAGTTCTTGTATCGATTAGTTAGGTCTGAATTTTCTGGTTATATAACTGGCTGTGGATGATTGTGACGCCCGTGACCTCTGACCCCAGTGTTCCTGGCCTGTACCCGGCATCTTTATCTCTCTGACTTCACGATCCTTTTCCTGGACCTGCAGGCGTCGAGCGGCACGTCCCTGAGTGCGTCCCTGATCCCTGTCACGTGTCCCCGTGCGGCCCAGGTCTCCACGAGGCTCCACGCGGACCTGGGCCCCTGCCGCCCACACTTACAGCCCTGACCTGTGTCTGCGTCGGTGTAGCGGCTCAGCGACCTCTGGGAGGCTAGGTGGCTCCGCTCGTGGTGCCGGTGCCCGTGCCTCTGGCCGTCCTCGGGGATCACCCTCTCCAGCGAGTAGTCGTCCAGCTGCATGCCCCTCCCGGAACGTCCCTGGTAAAGGAAGCAAGCGAAACACGTCAGGGGGGAGGAGTCAGCGATGGTCTACGGAGGGATAGTGGACATTGGGGGGGGATCAAGGATTATAGTGTCACTGGGGGTTTGCGCTCTTGCCCCCTGTGGGCAGGGCTGTCAGCGCAGACATGCGTCGGGATCCCGGACGGTCCTGCCCTGTAGGGGGTTTCCATCTCCAGGCCCTCATCTTCCTGGCTGTCCCATCGCCGGTCCAGGTGGTCTGCACCAGTGCCTCGAACACGGCTGTCTGCCTGCTGGCGTCTCTCCTCGATCCCGAAACCCAGAGCTGCTCCGCCTCTCAGGCATGAGGCTGGGCGACGGAGGGGCCCCCGGCGCCCCGGACGATGCGGGAGAAGCGACAGCCAATGGGAACAGGCCATGTCGCAGGCAGGGAAGGAGCAGGACAAAGAGAGGAGTTCCTCCGTCTGCGGTGTCCCAGCAGAGCAGCATCCCGGCCGCAGGACGGCTCTGGGCGGCTGCAGCGCTCGCAGGCTTTACTGCAGTTATTATTGCCGATTTAAAACTGGTTTTAGTGTCACCCTCAGGCCGAAAAGGGCCTGAATTTGGGGGAACATCTGTGATCTTGTTTTTCTTAAAAGCAAATAATTATTTTGAATTAAACGCAGGGGGAATTATATTACATAGAAAAAAAATTTAGAGATGAAATTCTTATTCCGTCAGCCAAATACAAGTGGGCTAATTGCCCCCAAATTTGGTCATATGATCTGTGCCTGGGAGGAATGCCCCTGTAGTGGCATAGCTAAATTGGGGTTTATAGGGCTGGCAAAGTGGGGGGGGGGGGGGTACATACACTGAGGTTATTTCCATGGGGTCTGGGTCGTCTCCGCTGCTGAACAAGCAGGCAGGCAGGCGGGCGGTTCACAGACACAGTGACATTATAGGGACAGACGAGCACAGTACAGGGCCACCGAGGAGACGGCCAGGAAGAAGGAGGAAGAGGGACGGGGTGCAAGATTGGGTTTTAGGGCCAGAGAAGAGTTAAGAGGTTGAGGGTGAGAGGAAGCATAACATTCGTAACATTCCCCCAAGGGGAGAGTGGAAAGGAGGGATAAGCGGTGGGCATGCAGGAGAAAAGAGCAGGCAGAGGTATCAAGAAGAGAAGAGCAATAGAAGAAGGGGCACCAGAAAAAAGAAAAAAATGAAAGAAGAGGAGAAAGCAGAAAGAAAAGCCAGTTAGACAAAGAGAGACTGGAGACCGCAAGAGACGGAAAGAGAGATGGAACGGTAGCACGGCTCACAAGGCCCCGGGGGATACCCCACACACACCATGAGGGATAGGGGTCAGGCCCCGGGGGAATCCCCACACACACCCTGAGGGACAGGGGTCAGGCCCCGGGGGAATCCCCACACACACCTTGAGGGACAGGGGTCANGGGGTCAGGCCCCGGGGGAATCCCCACACACACCCTGAGGGACAGGGGTCAGGCCCCGGGGGAATCCCCACACACACCTTGAGGGACAGGGGTCAGGCCCCAGGGGATACCCCACACACACCCTGAGGGACAGGGGTCAGGCCCCAGGGGAATCCCCACACACACCCTGAGGGACGGGGGTCAGGCCCCGGGGGAATCCCCACACACACCTTGAGGGACAGGGGTCAGGCCCCAGGGGATATCCCCACACACACCCTGAGGGACGGGGGTCAGGCCCCGGGGGAATCCCCACACACACCTTGAGGGACAGGGGTCAGGCCCCAGGGGATATCCCCACACACACCCTGAGGGACGGGGGTCAGGCCCCGGGGGAATCCCCA